AAATAAATTACGCATCTCCGTGCACATATAAGGCATTAAATTTAGTAGAAAATTAGCTACAACTAGGGTGATACTGGTTTAATTAGGATACATTTGCGAAATAATGCACTGCTACATAATAGTATTTTATACAACAATACTTCTATAATAGTTCCCTATAATATTTTTCCTATTTTTTACTGTCGTTAATATAAATAAATTAGTACTTTATAAAAATGAAATCTTATTATATCACCTCAAATTTTTATATTGTTAAAAATACAACTTGATCCATATAAAACAGTTTGAGTTTCATATATACGAATTTGAGTTTTTTAACTTTTGGAAAAAGTTTGTTTTCACGAAAAAATCCAACTTGCTAATTTTGTGTTTTCTCGACGTTTCAAGCCATTCTGAAGCAAATGAAATTGAATTTGAAAAATGTATGAATGTGTGTGTGAGCCGATTTTTAACCCTTTTTGTTTTTCTCGAAATGTATTTATCATAGAGACATGCGGTTTTTTTTAAACAAAAATTACAAAATCATAGAATATTACGAAATTTTCTTTTTCTTTTTTTTTTCGCCGTCATTTTTTAACCAGGGGGCGACAAAGTCGGCCTTGCAAAATCGATCTCTTTTGCGGTGCCACAGATAAATCCGTTGCGCATCGCCTGATACAAAAAAAAGAAACTACGTTGAAAAAGAAGTTTAAATCCAGTCCCCCTACCAAAATGAAAAAAAAATCAAGAAGGAAAAAAATGGCAGCTATTTAAAAAAAAAGGTGTCAAAAAATGCCTTTTTTGGGGCGAGAAACTTCGCAAAATTTTTTTGCGTAATGATATTATCAAGTTGTTTAAGGTAGGGGGACTAGGTATTGCAGTGGTGAACAAATTGAAAAAAAAATGCAAGTCGATCCGACTTGTAGTTTTTTTTTTTAATTTGTGGCGCCGCATTGAAAAAAGTCAATTTGAGAAAAACGTATTTAAAGTTTTTAATATAATGTACTAAATACACCATTTAATTTAATGTACTAAATACACCATGGTGTTCAAAGATGCTGACACATTAAAAAGGTCATGTGCATGAGGTATTATATTGAAAAAGAGAGCAGCTGGTATACAATTGCTCGCGGAGCGATGAAAAAAACGGTTTCAGAGGATCATACCCATAGAGATATATATCTATAACTTCGTCAAAAAATAGATATTGAGATGATTTTTTTTTAAAATAATTCTAAGGTTTTTAGCTTTCATAATATCAAAAAATCTCAAAATCAAAAAAAATAATAAATAAAAACCGAACAACCCCCTTAAATTCAGTAAAACGTAAAATTTTACGTTTTGATGCAATCTCGATAGCTTTCACAATTCGGGTAGTTGCGTTATGACTTATTGTGTCTTGTACTGGCAAGACGAAGTTACAAGCCGCTAACCTAAATCACAACTTACTCTGAATCGCACAATCTGAATACTGGCTCCCCGGAGACCCAGAAATCAAGATGTTAGGCGACATCGCAGCAGAAAGGTCATGCTGAAAGTTTTAAGTAGCATCCATAAGTCACTTGGGCATTGTAAAAGGATAGAGAGTACATTTATATCGCTTCATTCTTCACACCCGCTTTCATTCCGTTGTTTTAATTCGACATTATGTATTCCGATACCGATTTGTTTCTGAAACGGCTTTTGTTCGATTATTTATGTCAATCGGGTTTATAACGTTTCGCACCCGAAGGTCTGAACAGCTCGTTGTAGCTTTTAAATCTTGACATTTTCATTTTGTGTCCAGCCTTGCAACTACGAGGTACCGAGTTCAATCTCGCGTTGCAGATAACATATAAATTAACTTCAAATGTGATTTGATCACTAAATAAATCAGGTAATAGAATACTTAAATAGGTTTTAGTCCTATCTTATATTTAAAAAAACATATAGCTACTTAACGTAAAGTAATATGTTTCAAAATTTATTGAATAAAAATAAGTTTTAAAAATACTTACTATAATGTAAAACAAATAATGCTTTCGTAGTTGATATCTGCTTTGTTAAGTTTATTTGACTCAAAAGTCCTGCCATAAATGAACTGTAGATGAAAAGAAAAAATTTGAAAAGTTTTGTTCCAAATTTCTTTGTAATTAAATACTTCAATAATAATATTATAGGTATACATAAAACTGGTGTAAGTTAAATTTTGCCTAATAAGGTATTGCCTTATCGATCTAATAATTAAATATCTGAAAAATATCATGGAACGTGCATGACGCTAAGTGGTAACGTAATATATCCAGAAATGTACATATCATGTATGATACACCATTTTTAATATATTCAACAATTTTATTTAGGTTTCAGTGAAACCTAATATATTGTCCAATAAATATACATGCAATTTAACCAATTGCATGTATATTTATTGGACAATATATTTCTCTTACAATTATTCTGATCCAATATATTATTTTTATTTTTGTCGCGAAGGAAATGCCTTTATGCATCCCATACTGGTGTTTTGTCGGACTCAATACCGCTCTGTTATTATACTGACTAAAATTTCCGCTTTTCTCTTGCCTCTGGCCCCCACGGAAACTCGCCGTAGGCATTATTTATGGTGGAAGGAGACAGATATTATTTTATGGTGGAAAGATCTAGAAATGCTATAATTTTTGCTCTAAAATTATACTTCTCCTAATTTTTGCAATTTTCTTTTTTTTCCGAACATCGCAAGTCTATTTAGCACTTTGGTAGCAAATGTGACTATTACATTCCACGCAGCCTTAGTTGGCTGCATAAGTTTTACAACCGAATCTGGAGTAATTCTTCGGCTCTCTTCTACATCGTACCGTAGTGCACTAAATCGCGGGCACACGAAGAACACGTGCTCAGCAATTCTATTTGCAATAACAATATGAGTAATCCGGCGAGCTATCTTGCTTGAAGCGGTGTAGGTAGGCTCGAAAACAGCCGTGACCAGATAGAATTTACGTAATATACTCAATAGTTACATTTTTTATGCTTGTGATTTTGCCACACTTTGATATTTGGAATGCTACTATGCGTTCATCTCTCCTTCACTGTGACATCCCACTACTACTGCGATGTACTGAACTTGATAACATCACGATATTTTGCATATAAGAAATCGCCAACAAAAATGATCGGGTCACTCGAAACTCAATATTACAGATCAGTAAACGTGAACATTAGAAAATATTACCAAATCATGTGAAAAAGATCAAAGCTCTAATTTTTATAGGTGTTGTGATAAAATAGCACGATGCTAATGCATAAAAGACATCGAGATAATAAGTGAAGAAATATGGTTACCTTGTACATTTCATGTTAAATTTTTCGTGATATGTTAACAACTTTTGCATTTTAATTTGATGCAAAGCCTTAAACTATATTGTTCGAATCAACCTGAATTGTGAGTATAAATTAAGATGATTTTCAAATAATTTGACGGATTTCTGTTGAGATCGGCATATATACGAAATATCTGTAAACTTAGTGTTAAATAGTATGTGTAATTTTAAATCTTATTTAAATTATTCAGCGCCCGTCCATCTCTGATTAGTTTAGCTGCAAGATCTCGTTTCGGTTATGAAATAAAAAATATGGTTAAATAAACAAAAAAAATACTTTCGTTTCAAGTTACCAAATGTGATAACTGATTAGTCTTGAACAAATGGCTTTGTGGAAAAACTGAACCAAAGGACCAAATGTAACGAAATGCGCGAGAATTAGTAAATGTGGATTTGGTGCTGTCAATGGTTTATTGATGAAAAATGAGAGACTTGATATATAACACAAAGTGTGGAGACTTGAGATTGAAGCTGAGTAAGTTCTAACCTAATATTAAATATTTTTGCAGCAACAATCTAGTTCAAATATCGCTTTAAATAAATATAAAAAAGTAAGTAATGAAATTAATTTTTTGCAATTTCGGTTATGACATGTTTAGAAACATTACATTACTTTCATAGAGAGAATGTAATAGATTTCTTCGTAAACAAAACAATTTTCAAAAGGTAAATATTTTGTATGAGGGAGATGAATTGTTTTTAGAAACTTTAAGGTGCTCCACTATAAAAAAACTCGGAATCACTGTTTTATGTGGTTATACTTATTTAATTTTCTTTCGAGTAAGTAATCACTAATCACCACAAAATAAAAAATGAAAGTATCAAGATATTTTTGTGTTTAGGGAAAATGCGTGCAGCCGACGATTACGGATCTTCTGAGTCGAATTAATTCAAAATATTTATTCATTTGATTCTTATTGACAAGTAAACCTGCCGTTTTTTGAGAAAACTGCAAACAAAGGAAAAATTAAGGCTTCCTCACGTGCACACACATACTATTTTCAAATTCGAGAACGTAGAGAATACAATAAATTAGCAACTCAGATTTTTTGTAAAAACAAACTTCTCTTTCAGAAAGTTAAATTTAATCAATAGCAATGTGAATATTTTTTAACATAAATCAGTTAAGTGCAGTCTTCTGAGGTGTGTTTGTTCCACCAGCTTTCTTGCAAAGATATTTGAGTGGGCGGTGAACCTGTTTTGGTACTTATGACTATGTCCGGGAATTTTTTTCCTTGATAAAAGTAACTCCCAGTTTGTCGTAGAAAAGTCAGTTGGGAGTGCAATATGGTGCGTCGGCGATTTCCTTAAGCAAATCAACCAGAAACTTCCGTAGAATTGCGATATTTGATTGGTTGGCAGTACCACAATGCTGGATGCCATATGTCCGGATGGGTTTCAGAATTGATTTGTAGATTCGGGGGTTTTGTTTGACATCGACACTCAGATTTATGACCCAGCGGACAACATAGTTGTCTTCGTTTTTCTTCGATATGTTTACGCTTTAAACAAATGTAGAATTGACGGTCCAAATGGAGTCCCGAATATTTAACAGTGATGAGCATAAACTGTGTTATCATGAGACTGAAGTGTTATTGATTTTATCTATTCTAAAAAGTGCGAGTTGAGGTGCTTGATTATCGTGAAGCCTTTCAGGCGCACCATCCCGGTTATGTTTTCGAACTCCTCGTCACAATCGATGTAGGTAGGATCTTCAGGATCTTGAAGTCTCCTTTCTTTGATCTGGATCCAGATCAACTTGACCACATTGTAACGTGTTTCGGGTTCGTCACTGCCTATTAATTTGGCTAATGCGGGCGATAGACGATATTTCTTGTGGATTCCCTTATTTCGTGCAGCCCGTTTCTGCAAACATATTAATTATAAATAATATATATATATATATATACATATATATATATATATATATATATATATATATATATAGTTAGTTGAACAAAGATCAGAACTTATGGGTACTATGAGCTGTTGTAATAAATTTTGACTTTAAACAACGTTTGCAAATGACAACCCAAACAATTGTCCTATTTTTTGATTAATTTCAGTATTACATACTTATTACTTATTAAGCTTCCAGGTAAGGGCTATTTTGACCTAAAAACATATTGCTATAACTAATTTCAAGTGAATACCAAAGTAAGTAGTAAATGAAATCTAGATTTATTTATGAATATAATATATAATATTTGTCAATTTCATTCTAAGTTGCGTAGTCTCAGAAAATGGCTACCATACTATATTAATTTATCCGTATTTATGGAGATATTTTACTTGTATTGCTACATCTTTTTCATGAGTATATATTATTTTTATTTTTCAATTACCTTTTTTGCCTCTTGAAACAAGACTTCAGAAAGGGTAGTCGAACTTATCGACCGTGATTTCGCCTCCTTTCTTGTGCGTCTCGATACCATTGTGCCTGAACTGCTAAAATAATGTTAATAGAACTATAGTAGCGTATGGGAATACTATTTAAAATTCTATTATCTCATTATCATAATTTAATATGAAAATTTAAAATAATACAAAATTTTCTTTACTATCTGTGGGGTAAGTTATAGTAATCGCAAAAAGTCGAAAATAAACTTTTATAAATCTTTTCGTTTGCCTTAAGGACGATGCCATGCATCACTAGTTTTAAATTACTTTTAATATATATTTCATTGATATAATTGATGTTTGATAATCAAATAATGTAATAGCAAAATTACATTAGAAAATTAATATCGGATAAATTAGTAAATATTTCGCATAAATCGTATAAATGAAAGACATGTGAATAAAAAAATATCCATATCAAGTTGTAATGAAAAGAAATAAATACACTAAATATTTTAACTAAATTAAAACGGTTTGAAAGTCAAGTCAAATTAGATGACAGTACGGTATTAAATGTTTTACCATTAAATTAAAAAATCGAAACTTTATTTTTCGTTAACAAAAACTTTGCAGAAGATGAATGACATTTGGAATAGGCATAAAATTTAAAACTCGAAAAAAAATTAAAAAAAAAAACAAAATAAAATATTACAATACATTATGTGAAAATGCAATATTCTAATACGATTTTTACTTACATTTACTCTGTTTTCTTGGTCTTTATAACTATAAATTTAGAAAAAAAAATTGTAAAGATTTTTATACTTAAAATTTTGATAGCACATTTGTTTTGTGCTTGCAGCATACTATTATAATTTGAAATTGAAACAAGAAAAAAGTCATCATCAAAGTACGTCATAAAACAACTGTAAAATCCAGTATGCCAAATCTTTTTGGGCAAATTGTCAAACGAGTTCACTAACAACGTTTACTAATTGACTTTTCAGAAACATTTACTGAAATGAGTGAATGCATATAACGTATAAAATAAAACACCATTAGAAAGATTCAAAAATGTAGTTGAGTCAGTGCAAAATGCAACTTACTAGTTATCTACTCAAACTTTATTTAAATTTCTTAGAGTATTGAATAATTTGTTTTCATAAATTAATATGAGGTGCTAAAAGTTCCGTGAGTGGAAAGAAAATCTGCAAAATGCAACTTACTAGTTATCTACTCAAACTTTATTTAAATTTCTTAGAGTATTATAATTTTTGTTTTTCATAATTAATATGAGGTGCTAAAAGGTCCGTGAGTGGAAAAAAATATACAATTTTTTTTTGTTATTTTTAAGAATCGGGAGATAAACGGAAATGTATGAAAATGCCTAACAAAAGTATTTTCTAAGTTCTAATATCTGATAATTTGATATGCAAAATTCTAATGATCATATTTGACCTTCACAAAAATTTCATGAAATCTTTATTTAGCAACGTACACACAACTATTTTTTTTATGCCAACATATATTTAAAAAACGTAAAGATTGCAAAAATTTTCTTCCGTTATTAGTCTTTTCGATTGTGAGCGCTGTTGATCAGATGACAAGTTCTTAATATTACTTTTAATATAAACACAAAAATGAAAATCTTTACATATCTTTAGGTTTTAAATGTTACTGAACATTTTGACATATCATTATGTTTCAAATACATGTTAGCATACCTTAGAAAAAATAGATGTGTGTTCGTCACTGAATGAAAATTTGATAAAAATTTTGTGAAAGTCAAAAACAATCATTAGACCTTTAACACATAAAATTATCAGATATTATATAGAAACTTTAATAATACAAAGTTTGTTTTGGTTCCGTTCCAAGATTTATAATTTTATGAATTCACATACAAACAAATTTTAAGGAAAATTATTATCAATGATTGCAACATTCTTCAAATATAAAAATATTGCAAATAGTACACGTAACAAAATGTATTAAGGGCTCACACCACTGTAGATTTTTCGAACAACGAAAAAAAAATTTTAATCTTAAAATATACTTCGAACTTTTTAGAATAGAGGAGAAATATTTCATACCTAAAACTGTGATTTATACGTGCATACGTCACCAAAAGCGTGAAGTTGCTTAAAGAATGAAACTGTTTCGCCAGTCAGTTACTGTCAATTTATTACAAATCTTGAGCCAGCTATCAATTTAGATGTTAATGTCAACATCATTGATATAAGAGAATTTTTTTTCGCCATTTAACTCCTGAAAAACGCTTCAACTATTCACATTTAAACATATTATTCCGTTATCTTTTTAGATGAAAGTACTGCTGTTACTTTTTCTGATACAGCAGCTACACCACGTAATTGCAAATTGATGATTCTGTATATAATGTGACTAATAATGTGACAAGAACTGATCTTTTCAAGAGTTAAATGAAGTATTTGAACTTGCATATAAAGACTTCAACTTGTTTTAGCAATGCACGAAGATTGTTTGAAAAACAATTTACAAGTGATAGGTTTGGCTATGTATGCTTTGTGTGTAATAGACTTTGGTTTCAAAGTGACTTAAAAATATCAAATGATGCTCAAAAACAAATTCTTAATAATGGTTTTCTGAATATTGATTCAAATAATCAGGTTCGATGTCAAACTTGTCGAAAGGCGGGTAAAATTCCCACTTTGTGTAAATTTAACGGGTTTGTATTTCCACCTATACCAAATTATCTACCTACTAGATACTGTATCTGAAAGGTTAATTCCACCCGGGATGTGTGTCATGCAAATTAGACGATTGCGACATGCAAATAGACAATAATATTTGACTAAATTATAAATGTGCCTGTTGACGTTAATAATATGGTTAATTTATTACCTCGTAATATTGATGATGATCATTGCATTAACGTTCACATAAAAAAGAAAATGATTCATAGATCAAGCTATGTGCAGGGCTTGATAAATAAAACAATATAAAAGAATGGCTTCAATTTTTGAGGCAAAACAGATATTACAGCTGTTCAAAGAATGAGATTATATCACAATATTTGTTTAGGCTTTGTTTAACTTTGTGTGAACGAATATTATAGAATTTATTAATCAGCAATTACTTTAAACCCGATCATGTCATATTTCAAGTATGACTCTTATTCATTATTGTTTGTAAATATTATACATATTTTTAATGCAATCATAAATATATAATTTATAATTTATCATTATATAATGCGTAATGTTGACGTCACTAATAAATGTGTGCAATACGAGTGTTACCATATTACTAATAAACACTATTCAAAATTGTTACATGATGTATTTATTTTTACTTAACTTAAATTTGCTACTTTGTACAGTAGCAAATAAGTTTTACTTCAATCGCGTGTGATCCTTACGCGCACTCTTTTTTATATGTTAATTTGTGCATCAATTATTAACAAAGTACTCTCCGTCTCTTTTGTTGAAATTAACGATTTTAAATGAAGTGCTCGCCGAAAAGAAATGGCTAAATTATACATTTTTTTGGCTGCTACAGTGGTGTAACCCCTTAATCCATTTAGTTATTACAAATTTTAAGTCGTTCTCAATAAACTAAAATTATCTCAAGTTCAACTCTGACAAAGTTATTTTCGATGCCTTTCTCTGCAGTCATTGGTATTTCTAATTAAATCGAAAAAGTTAAACTCGTATTAGGTAGATACTATTTTGTATGAACTGGAATCCGTGCGCCCCTGTGTATCGTTGAAACTTTGCATATTGCTGCGCGGTATTAACGCATTTTCATGACGCAAATCCATAAAACTCTCGAGAGCTAATGAACATTATTTTTTATGATAATCGCCTCCAATGACATTTACTCACCTGCACAAGGGTTAATTTCGTGTATCTCGTGACATGAAACTTCGTCTCTTTATAGATGCGATACAATTTTAACCTAATAAAAGTTTATCACCTATATGTTATAGGATTATGATACTGCAACTCATTCGCGGAATTAGGAAAGGCACTTTTTGTATAGTAATCTTCTTTTCTATATGCAGAGGTTTCAAACCTGTTTTATATATATAATTTTAAGTCTGATATATAAGGTTTGCGTAAGATCAGTTATAATTGATCTCGGATAATAGTCACTTGTTAGTGATGTTTTAACTATTTTGGCACAATCAGTATAAGACTTTCAAATTGACGATATGTACAGAGAATTGGTTTTTGTAAATTCCACGTGATTTAAACTATTTTTTAGTTTTAAAGGAATGGATGCACTCCGGAAAACACGAGAACTTGGGATATTTTCTTATATTATAGATTTATTTATTTTTATTATTTAGATATATATTATACATTTTCCAAATTTAATGTTTTTTTTTATTGTTATAAAGTATTTAGAAAGTATAGACTTGATATTTATCATAAACAAATACTAAGCGAAGTATCTATTCCATAATAATAATAATAATAAATAAAAAACATGTTAAATGCTGCAATCGCTGTGGCTATAAATTAAATTAATGTGAGTAATACCATTAAAAACAAAGGTGATCATTTAAACACTGTTTAAATGCAATTTTTCAACATTTCAATATTTGTTTTCGTCTGCAATGTCTATACATCTTTTTTATACTTTAATACAAATTTTATACTAAATAATAGTATTAATTATATGAGCAAATAGTATTAATTTTTGCTATGACTAGTTTTTGCAATCGGCAAAACATCAGAATGTGGTATTGTAAGGTAAACATTAGAATATTGTTAAGGTGTAATTTAGATTTTATAAAGATGGAATATCTTAAAAAAGTATTTCTATAAGGATTCAACCAATTGGTATAATTTTTCAGACATAATTTTTTATAGGTATATGCTTTTATGCAAATTACTACCCTTTCTAACAGAATTCCAGAATATTACCTTAGCATAAAAACAATAAGGATAATTTAGACATTCATTTTGATCATTAAAAAATACTTATATCTTGGATAGCTCGTAATCAGCAGTTCACCAGATACAGTTACACGGCATCTATAATTAATTATCAAAACTTCTTTCTAATTCGGCTAGACAGCGGTTGCTTTTTATGTTTTGTGCTGTTTATTGTTGGCAAAT